TCTTCTTTTCCGAATCCCGCTCTAAGGAAAGGCACGTTAGAACTTCGCACTACGTTCAATTTATCAAGTTCTTCTTCAATTACTAAATTGGGGATCATTGGGTAAATATTTTACAAAACTACTCGCCTCTGCTTACTGACAAATGGTCGCATATTTTGTTCACTTCCATCTACATTAATAGATTTATATTTATCTGTTACTTCATCAACTAATTGCTTACTGCTAAGAAAGATGTACACTCTGCTGTTTGAGATCTTGGAAGCGTAAATTATGTTTCGTGGTGAAACAATAGTAGCTAAGGCTTCTACATACCTTTCTAGAGATGTACTGTAGTCATTTCCATCAATTATCAAACCTTGCTCTTTGTCCGGATACATAGAATTTTGTACGATATTACTCCAGTTTGTGCGTCTTGACCTGGGGCGGGTTGGCTCCTGTAGTCAGAGGTCTTCCCTTCAGCCGATGCTTCATTCGAGGTCATTTCCCGTTAACTTGTCCCCCCGTAGGGGAGGAAAAGATAACGGTTTTGAACTTCTCTGTAGTATTTGCTGATTAATAAACTGTCCACAACTAACACGTAGACTAAGGAAAGTAACAAGCTCACTGCGTAACACTGTGCTGTCACTGTGCGCAGCGCGGCGCGATGTTGACTCAACGGCTGTCTGTGACGGACTGACCCCGAGAAAATCTTGTTTTTGTAATATTTTAAATACAAGCACATATAATATTGCACGCAGTACTGCGCAAAAACTTTTTTTTTGAATGTACATGACAATGAAAGAAATCACTATGTAGGACAAATTTTATTTGTAGGAAAAATATATATCTTCAATTTTGTAGTTGTAGGATGACACCGAACAAATTCATAGTTTTTAAATTTTCGAGAATTTAGAGGTAACCGTGAAAACCGGACCTATGCCACTTTTATAAGTGTATGTTACTATATTCTTACAAGAAATTTAAAGAACAAATTTGGAGCCGTTTTGAGAAAATTGTGAAAATGTCCGGAGGGCTTCATGTAAAGTACCTCCATATTTTGAAGAATGTTTTTAAAAAATTCAGTTTCGACTCGAACCTGGTGTACAGCGGTTTATTCAATTTGGAAAAAAAATCCCACGCTTGGTTTAGGCGCTAGTAGTATTCACAGACACCAGACGGACGGACAGGCAGACAAACGTTTTACTGAAAAACAACACTTTTTCGGTATCAGAGAAACCCAAAACGTGTATTTCCGTTGAAATATTGAAATCAATTTTCCGCAGCATTACATAATTTTCCTTTACTACGTATATTACTCCGTACATAAGTACGTATACGGGAGAGTAAAAAAGCATAAACTTGTTCATAAAAATTGTATTTTTAAATTTAATTTAACATTCAATAAACATTATTGTATTAAACAAAAGTTGCACCGAAATTTGTCGCCCCTCCAAATCTTGCCGCTCTAGGCATGTGCCCAGGTTAGCCTATTAACAAATCCGCCAATTCCGCCATGCAATTAGCGCATATATTTGATACCTAAAAGTATCTCTGGTGACAGAAGGGGGTTGTTGGTTTGAAAATCTAGGTAATATCTGGTCTCAGTTTTGCACAAATACTCTTGATATGATGTGTTGAAATTGTTTTAGTGGCTTATAGTACATACGAGAATGAAGTTGGTTTTTTCCCTCTACATTCAGGCAAAGCGCATGAATGACAACTGATTATTGTGGGAGCTAAGTTGACATATTATTTTTTTAGATGGTTCTTTATATTATTGTGAAATTGAGGAAAAGTGGAAAGCACACGCCATCGCCACCCACAGGCGATAGTGCTGCTCTCACCAGCTCTAAAAGTTACATGTTCTGGAGGCTGGATATCTTTTTCTGTACCCATGCCAACTTCACAATTATTCGTAATGTCACGGAATAACGAATAAAACAGTTGCAGTGTATTTGCCTAGTGTTTAGGTGGTGTAGTCTTTTGAACTCCTACAATCAGACAAGCTGGTGATACAATATCACATAGCATGTATTAACAAAACATAGATTTTGATATGAAATATATAAAGAAATATGAATGGCGTGTGACTAGTTGTGAGCATTATCGATGATTATTGAGATGATTCTGGAATTTTAGTTGAAATTTCTTGATTGAATCATGATCATTGTTGATTATTGTTAACATTTTGGATAAAAAGTAACTGATTCCCAAAATACTGACCTTGCACTGGTTGTTAATCAATGACTCGTGTATACTAATAACAATAGGCTAAAACATACATCCTTAAAATGTTCTCAATATTCTCAATTTCATATTGAACAAAGATATGGACGTATTAAACGAAGTGAGTATATCCAATGTTTGTACAATTGTTATGTCTTTCTGCAGTGTGGCTGAGACTTATAAAGAGCCACATTATATTATCGTTTATGTGAAATTCTGCCCTGACAGGTAGAAGATCTCTTTGAGAAATTAGAAGCAGTTCCAGTTGAAGTCAAAGAAGCAGCTTTAAGAAAAATAGTTGAAAAATTATGTTGTAAGTTACTGTTGCCTCTTTTGTCTTTGCTTGGTATTCTCTTTCCTACTTTATTGAATACTCACTAACCTAACCTATCGTATTGGTTTAAAATAGAATGTGATGATATTACTTTGCATGTCAAATACAATTGTGTTGTTTTGTCGCACATTTGTAGATTCATGCAAGTGTATGAAGAGTCTTTGCTCGAGCTTCATGATCAGTGCAATAATGCTTTCGTGGTAGTTTTGCGACTTGCATGCCTTTTCCTCCCTGTGAATTAAATAGTGATATTTGTGCCCATGCTCCTATTATGTTGGAGAATTTCAGTCCCTTGGTATTTTGTTAATTATTAATTTATTCTCACTTTTAATTTATTAATTGATTTCTCATCTATTTTTCTCATCGCCTACCTGCTGGTTATCATCTAAAATGTCAAACTAGATTCTCTGTTAACAAGTACGGAAATGTGATGAATTTTTATAGCTCGTCAAAATCTCTTTTGGAATTTGTCACAGCGATATTGTATTTTCTCTATCCATTGCTGTATATTGTAGTTGAATGCAATTGTTCATTAAATAAAATGAACATACTGACTTTTGACTCATAATATAATGATAAAGAAATATGCCTGTAGTTCGTGATGATGATGAGAAATATAATAATCAAAGGTGTATAACAGTTTCAAGTTGATCTTTATAACATAGAAAGATGGACAAAAAAGAATAAAATTGACATTAATAGAAATAAATAATGATAAGTTATTAGTATGTAGTTCTGTATTAGTTATTTTCAAGTTGTAATTAAAAAGGAAAACTATTTTATAATCTCAGAGATGTGAATCAGCTGCTGAGAGCAAATAAGGCTGGATAGGATTAAAATCAGAAACATGTGATGGGAGTGAAAATAAATTCATGTAATATAATGTAGGACTAAGTTCAGCTCCAAAGAGAGAGCTTTAGCATTTTTTGTCAGGGTTTAATAGGGAACTCACTTTGAGAGATTACATGAGGGTGTATTTTGAAACCTTATGAATGGTGTTGAGAGGCAAAAGATAATTCACAATAGTGACGAATTGCCAGTGATAATCTCAGAGGTTTAGAAACTGGAAAATAAAAGTAAAAAACCTATTTACTGTGGAAAATGATGGAATGCGTTTTGTTTTTAATAACTTGCGATTGTAATTATGTGTATACTTTGGAATTCCGATAGAGTATAATAATGTGTCAAATAAATTATACGCAGTACATTTATCCAATAGTTTGGGAAACATTAGACATAGTGTTTAAAGGAATTTGGAAAATCCAGAAAGATCACAAACAAGAAGTCCAAAAAGCCTCCCTGTTTAGATTCCACTGACGAGGTGACATGAGGGTTACAAAATGCAGCATTAAATCATACTCATCAAGAAGATAGTACCTCATGCTGAGTTTGCAAATGCTTATTCGTTGGCACGAGCATGCACAACCTAAAACAAATGAGGAGCTATCACACAAGTCCTTTGAATTAAACATGTTTTATTGGAAGGTATTTTCTATATTTACAATTTCTTTCATGATGCAGAATCTTGGGTAATCTTTGGCAACTACATTTCTGGGCTCCCTTTCCATTAAATGTTTTTACTTAAATATGACATATTTTGCTAGTAAATAAAAGTTATACAAAGTTATTTAGATCAAAACTCTAAGAGTACAATTAAATGCTTTTGATTTTATGTTGAACCATTGACAGGGTTACCAGATGGTTTGGATTGCTCCTCGTCAAATGTACATTTCCCAAGTTGTCGAGGTAAAAAGGGGGAAATGAAGAATTAATCCATTTACAGAACCAAAAAGTGATATTCCGTATGGCGAAGAGGCCCTTTGAAAACAGACCCCTGGGCCTCCAGCCAGTGGGCCGAGCGAGTGCTGGCGAAGGAAGCAGCTGGGAGGCGCCGCAGCGTACGGTAGCGCGCTGCTGTGGCTACGTGTGAAGGGGCCCTACCTGATCGCGCGATGATATCAAAGCATCTACAAGCGTCAATTTTTTTCCTTTCAAATCGCGGCTGCGATTTTACTTTGTCGCTCTTACGTGAAAAGAAGAGAACGTATTGCAATCGTGCGCCGGGAAACCGCAAATTTCCGCTAGAAAAACTCTTCTTGCTGGGCCCTGGTAACGAAAAAGTGGATAGGTCTTTTTCTTGTATATAGAAAATTACTTCCTCTAACAGAAAGGAAGAATCCAATCGGAATCCCTGCTTTGCGGGTCTTTGATATTGAAAAATTGAGGCAAAACGTGTATCTGTGGTCAAAGCTAGCATCAAATCTGTTCAGACGAGTTTCTTCAAAATTGATATTCCTATATCCATTTGCAAGAACTCGAGATTCTTTGAGTTTGGAACGTTATTTTGATTCATTTGAGTACTTTACATAAAGTCTCGATATTTTATAAAATTATTCAATTTTTTTAATTAAACTTTGCCCTCGTATAGCGTAATGGACACTTATGAGAATAGTGTAGGTCTCACTTTCGTTGAAATTCCTGATGCTTCGAAAATTGAAAAGTGTAAAGATTGTCAGCGTTTTCCTACAAGTACAATATTGAAGAGAGCCATTGCTTCCTGAATGAATTCTTTAAAGATATCTTGAATTAAGGTCAAATGTAATTTTTTGAAAGCGTGAGTAGTTTTTGCGTAATTTTGTAGGCAATTTTTAATATTGTTGAAACATTTATTTTCTAAAGAACGGCTTCAATTTTTTCTCTAAATTTTCCTCTTCGTATATATAAAGGTAAAAAATGCATGTTTCATTTCTGGCGAACACTTATTTTTTAAAATTGCAAAAAACTGAACATATCAAAACTGCTAATTTAAAGATGGATGTTTTGTCCTTAAACGAAATGTGTTCTAAAAAACTACCTGTTTAAAAAAAGTTCATGTATAACTTTTTTTTGGAAAATAGTCGTTTTCGTTTAATTTCTATTTCAATGCAATTTATATAAAAAACCATTCTTAAAAACCGCCCCAATTTTTTCACTGATAAAACAAATGGTGCAGGTGTAGTTCTGGTTGAACTGTGAATTTTTGAAAATTGCAAATTTAGTAATAATGCACTGCTAGTTTAATTAACGCGTTTTGGAATATAATTACATTGTATACGTAAGCTTCCGCGGCTCGAATCCATGAATTCTCGGCTATCCGGAGACGCCGCGTCGTTGGCTGGGGTGCTGACGTTTCGCCTGACATGTCGCAGGCTTCCTCAGGGCCTCAGGTGAAAAGCCGGCACCCCAGTTAACGACGCGGCGTCTCCCGGATAGCCGAGAATTCATATAATTACATTACTTTTTTCTTCCTGGGGCTTTTTCCACCTTGTTGGGATGTCGATTTCGACTGTCCGCGCCGGCTTTAAAACACCTCACGGGGACACACACACTTGGCTGTTTTCTCGGTCTGTGGTGAGCAGACTCCCAAGGCCTCGACGGCGAGACGCGAGTCATACGCTCCAGCCACCTCGGCCAGCCGGGCGCTGCACACTCGAGATTTTGTATCAGTTGTGCATTGACACTATTGCAGTTAATAGAACTCATACAAAATAAAAACGGATTGGAATTCCAAAATACGGTGATCACACTAGCACTTTGCATCACGCTCTGTTAGGACACGTTTTCCACTAGTTCATTGTTTATTTTTATTGTTGCTGCTATTCTTGGTCATGATTATAAAATAGAATTATTTTATTTCAAAAATTTCACTAGCCAAGCATCGTTTGCAATAATGAAAGATATCATTTTTCAGATTTTTTAAAAAATTTCTTGATGAATATTTATAGTCTTATTTATAAAAAAAGAAGTTCCTCTTCAAATTTTACACATTAATATTTATTAACACTTTTACATAATTATAATTTTAATAAACTACATTATTCGTTCGGCCAGTACCTTGTAGCCATGTTCAGACATCTGGTTGGAATACTTTGCAGTCAAAACATAAGCCCCATACCTTACATGTATGTTTTAAGGATTTACAGATACTCCGCGTGAGGAAATACGTCCCTACTGATTATATGAGTATCGGAGTGTTAATCATCTAACAATGTAAATGATAAAATGAAACTAGCGTGCCGCAGCAAGATAGGATGGCTGGAAAGACTTGTTCTTCCGCTTTGCTCATAGGCCCAAAAAGTAACCGTTTTTCATTGTGCACTATCGCCTAAACTGTTTTTCAAAAATTAAAAGTTAAAGTATGCATTTGGTAGGAAATTTTATCTACTTTAATTTTATAAAGAAGAATTGTTTCGATAAAACGCATAGTTTTGAAGATATAAGTAGAAAACTAAAAACGGTGAACTTTTGGGGTTTTTCTTTTTGCAATTTGTTTTTATGATGTCGACCTATTTTGATATGGTAAACATCAAATTCGAAATCGGCATCCTCAGAAACACATTGAACCGTTGACAAAAAATCCGGATATTTTTCCTGGACGGGCAAAAAACTATCAGCAGCGTGCGGTTGTTCGTCAGTATTGACAACCTACCTCTCCTAAATCACGTACTGGATGAGGACAGTTGGCAAAATGCGTGCGTGTGTAGTGTCATCTACCCGCTGGTTGGCGCGCGGCGATGGTGTAACGGTTTGCGTTTCGGACTGTTGTACCCAAGTTGACGGGTTCAAACCCGTTCAAACCCGAGACCCACGGCTCGAAGCCGAAAGGGCGAAAAAATCCTTCGTACGCCTTCCTTCGGAGGGGAAGTAAATCCGGCTGTCCCATGTTAGTAGATGTACTTGTAAAAGATGTAAATGTAAAATATCCTCAAGCCTAAATGACGCCTCTGAGCTAAATTCAAATCGCCTGTTTCTCGTCCAAGAAATACCTCCTTTCTCTGCTAGTTGGAGAAAGGAGACTCATGGCCTGAGTCTCGCCACGTAAAATAAGGCATTAATTCAATTCAATTGAACCGTTAGCCCGATGGCGAAGCGTTGGGAGGGGGGTGCAGAGCGCTAATGAGAAGCCCGAGACGCGTCGCATCTTCCACACAGCACGTGGTGAGAGCTCTATGACCTTGGTAACGCCTTCGTAGGAGTGAAGTATTTACGGTTGACCGGATGTGTTTGTGTGTGCAATATAAGTATGAGTCGTTTCTAATTCCCCGCCGTGTCACTTTGTAACAATGTTATACCGGTTTTATTTATTTATTGACGTTAATTACGCCAAAACAGTTAAAAACTGTGTGTGATGTGCTATGGGGAGAAGTTGATTTGAAGTTACATTTATGTCCTGAAGCAAAACAAGGGCCAATCTCAGCATTTGCTCAAAGATCAGGACATGACGAAAACCCGTTCGAGATGGGAGTCATTGATCCAGAAGCTGAAGTACAATTCTTGTTACAGGTTCTTAACAATTATACAATCCAAATGGTATATAATACATTAAATGTTGTTAAAATTTTCCTTTTGGATGCTTGGTATAGTCTCTAATTGTATAGAAACAGTTGTGCAGCAGAAAAGATTTTGCTTAGAACTTAAACTTTTGTATCGAAATTAATCGTTTAATGTCATCTGGCAAAGCATTCTAAAATAATTTCCATGCATTATATGTGATTTTTTTTTGTAGTGAGCTGTTGATACTGTCAGCTGATGAATATTATTACGTCGAGTGTTGTAGTTATAGACAACATTTGCTGAAAATATATTCCCGCCCGTAAGTCATATTTGACAAAAACACTGGTTCATACATAAAGAGACATGGTAATGGTAAAATACCCAGATTATGGTTATGATATTAAGACATCTAGTTATGGTTACTTTATAGTAATACCTGCTTAGTTGACCACTAGCTCGACCGGTCGTTAGAAATGAATCTCTGGAAAAACTTAAATTTCCCTCTCCCTTTTTTCCGTTTTCATTTATATCTCTAAAATGTGCGTAATTTCACGCAAATCTTATGTTCTCCTCCATACGTCACATTAAGATTTCACTGTTTCTTTGACTAAATAAATCAAATCAAATGCATATATTACATTTAATTTTGGCAAACTGTACAAGCGCGCTAGATGGGCATTGAAAAGAGCGAAATTTCGACCCCGTGGCCAGAACGGAAGAACTTGTATTCATTTGACCACACATTGCCCGTCAATGAAGGTGGCAAGTGCAACTAGAGCGCTAGCGCGAGGAAGAATGGCGGAGTTTCCTAAACCATAGTGTGATCACTTCCGTTTCAATGTTCTGTTGCTTGAAAGAGCTAGTGCAGATATGCCACGGTTCTTACCGAGATCACCAGTGCAATTACAAGCAAATCTGTCTTATTATTTCATTAGTTGTTAGTAAACTTAGAAAATTTACCCACCTATGTCACAGATAGTTTTTACTGTTGTTTGACTGAATAGATCAAATATACACACACGGAGACTGACAAACGCCTGCCCGCCCATACGCCCCCATACACACGCGTGCTCTCTCGCGTGCACACGCACCCCTCCCACACACACTCGCTCGCGCTCACACGCACACACACACACTCGCACACACGCACGCACACCCGCACACACACTCGCACACACAATTTAAAAAGTGCTGTCTATCAGTCACTGTTTTAGTGTTGCATAGTTTTCAGAAATTATTGTTTAGTCAATTAAATTAATTGGTTTATTCTAAAATTTGTCACACACGCTACCTATTTGGAATTTGTCACATCAGAGAACACCTGCCAAAATCAGTTAATGAAAATGTTTATGATTTCTTTTAAAATGTTAACTTAACATGTTTGTAACAAATGTACTTCACCTTCTGGGTCAATGGCCCCCATCTTGATCAGGTTTTGTCCTGTTTCCCTTATACATTGAGCAAATGCTGAGATGGACCCTTGTTTTTCTTCTGGATGTAAATGTAGCTTCAGTATGTGCATGTTTTGTTGAACTCTCCTTTTGCTTGTAGTGTTAGAAATAGAGATAAGGGCGAGTTCCTTTTTTGCAATGCAGAAAAATCTAATCTGCAATTCGTATACCATTGCAAATACGTTTTCTATAACTCTAACAAATATGTCTAGTTTTTCACATGTTGCTAATCTTGCACTTTTTTAAAATTTATTTTTATTTGTTTATCTTTAACTTTTACTCATCTTTCAACAATTTACAGTTAAAATGATGGGAAGGGGTTCTGGTACTGAAGAAAATGTGTGCTGATGATCGTCTCCCCCATACGTCACATATAGTTTTTACTGTTTTTTTGACTAAATAAATGTAAAATGATGGCCTTGCAATGGCATTGTAGTACATTTAGTAGTGACTACTCCATGTCATGTACCAAAACACAGAATATGTAATATTACGATTTTCTTCTTTCTTATAATTTACAATTTTGTACATCTGCTTACAATAGTATCTTTCATTGGGGGTGTGGGCCATTTGTCACCTGTCCACTTGTTAGCGCTGGTCATTTACCTGCTCGACCCACTGCGTGCCACCATTAGAGTCAATTTTAAAGGAATTTTTATATTTTAGAATTTATTATAATATCATTTTGGTAAATTAACTTACATTAAAATCAGATTCACGTTAAATCAGATCATCAATGGCCAGGTCTTCATATTTAAAAAATGAGTCTCATGCTTTATCACATTACATTGCTACACCCACGGTGTGCTATTTTGTGAGCTCATTATACGAAACACAGTGAACCATGTAAGAGTGGTTCTGACTCCACCTCTGCTTTGATTAAACAAAGCAATGTGAATTTCTGTAACAACAAATCCGAACCTTGCGCCCTACATCAAAAAATTGGTTGGTCCTTTAGTCCTTCCAAAGGAAATTACCACCGCGGGGGGAAATAGCCCTGTTTGGTGGTGACCATTAAACTGGACTAATAAACTGAGGAACAAGCGCTATTTAACATCTGGAAATATTGGCTCAAACTCCCCCTGCAGCAAAAGCCCATCAACCAGCTCAAAAGAGGTTTTCAAGTGCAGTGCTAGATTGGGTATGATAACCCTGAGCAATGGGGGTGAAATCGACCAGGATTGGCCTGAATCCAGTAACTCCCCCACAGACCCCAGTTTCTGTTACAACATATCTCTCGTAATTGCATTCAGGGAGCCTCTGGAAAATTTTGAAAGGAACCCTGAAACCTTACACAATAAAATATTTTATTTCTGTAAATGTATTCAATCCCTGATTTTTCCCTTTTTAATGGGATAATTTGGGGAAAAATGCTCTCCAAGCTATTTGACAACTCTTAAATGGTTCAACATGAAGTCAATTATATTAATTATATTGTTGAATTTGTCATTGAAGTACGTCATATGTAAGTAAAAAGACGGGGTAAAATGTAAGAAAAGAAGAAGAGTTTAGAAATAAAGTTAATCGCCCTCTTGTTTTAGGCCAAGCACACCAGTGAGTACCTCTCTTTGAAGCTGCTGAGGTATCAAGAAGGTTGTAATTTAGGCAATTCTGTTTTCATAATTCACCATAATATGAATGAGTTAGGACTGAGATCCCAGAGCCTAAGAAACCGTGCAAAAATTGCACTTCTCCCCATAGTATGTCACACAGTTTTTAACCTTTTTTTACATTAAATAAATAAATTTAAAAATAAATAAAAGAAAAGAAGGTTGAACTATCGTATGAATAATGTGCTAAGGATTCATGTTATACTGGAAAGGCAGTATAGTAATTTACAGTGTTAGACCGTGATGTTGATCCCCCCCTCACACACACACAAACACAATTTTTTCTAGAATTATTCCAAGGTATTGAAGAACAGGGATTCCCAACATTTTTCATGCATGGAAATGCATGCATTCTATTTGAAAGAAGGATTTGCTTCATTGTCCCCTTTCTATTCATTACACAGGTATTCCATATAAAGATAACCAAACAATAGACAAAGAATATTGACATAGGATTTCAAAAAATCATTATTATTGTTTTACAATTTTTATACTATTACCTTTTTTGATTTTACAAATACTAACAAATTTTTAGAAACAAAATCACAGATCCTAATTAATAATATTTGATTCACATATACAATTTCAATTGTGTACAAGAAGTCTGACATACTGTATGCAGGTGCACATGTCTTCGTGAGGTCCAGATTTCCTTCTTTCTCTTACTACACACTATTATGATTAAAGGTAGGAAGCAGCATTTTAATATGAGAATGTAAGAAATGTTCACCTCTGTGTGAAAAAAGTGCAAGCAACATTCAATTTTGATTTTGAATTCACTGTTAACAAATAATTAACCCTCCACTTCTCTCATGTCTAGCAAAAGGGAGCTCAAGAAAACTTGTGCAAAGTGAAGTTACATTTACAATTGCAAAAGAGTTTGATTTTCATTCATTAGAATAATTGTGAAATTCCAAAATAGAAACAAATTTGTAATTAATTGTTGAATGTTTCAAAACTTTGTATAAAAAAATAAATAAATATGGTTTCCACCAATTCTTGTTTTGTCATCAGTGAGATCTTGATTATACCAATAATTGGTTGGTGCGTATTTGACTGTCGACACCTTCATCGTCATAGACTCCCTTTAGAATTTCATCGCCCGTCCCAGGGGATTGATGTCAATCTCTGTTGATTTTCAGCCTTTGCCCCAAATGGTAGACAGGAAGATGTCCTAACTGTGGATGATGGATGGACACATGCAGGTGTCTCAATTACGATGTACAGAATTACATCTCCACTATTCCCATTTTCTCTATAACAGGGTCTTTTCCGATTGAGGAACCACTATCTACCCTCTTCCAACTTGACCAGCCAGGACCTTTTACTGCCTGAGATGACTCCCGCCCCAGCCTAGATCATCCAGATCCAGCCTAAGCCAAAACATAACCATATCGGTGACAGTAGGTATTTCTCATTCATTAATACTTCGCAATACAACTTCTCTGTTATATCTTCATTTGTTTTGTCCTCCTTTACTGAAAATTAACTCTTTAAAAATAATTTTCTTATGCTACACACTTTCTTTTCCTGTTGAAGCTGCATGCTTTTGTATCAGACCCAATGTGACCTAGGGTCTTGACCCAGGTCTTTTAAAGTTTAACTTTCTATAAGGAAAAATGATGTATTGGTTAGTTATAATACAGTACTTAACTTCCTTTCATAATACACTTCAACATTGTGAGTAATACATTGAGTAATACAATTTCCCCCCCCCCATTCACTATTTGATTATCCAATTAATGTATTTCAAACATGATATAGTGAAATTATAGTACCGCTGCGAGATAAAGTGTTGGTAGGGCCTTCCTCCAGTTTAGTCCAGTTTTTCAGAACTCTGTAGTGCGTGAACACATTGTTGAAACAAGTAAGGGAAAATATACATTTTGTAAGAAATTTTGTTTTATCCATAAAGCGCCTAATTTTTGACATACAAGCAAAGAACTGAAGGGAAAAAATCCGACCCCTCTCGGTATTCTGTTCGAAGCCAACCTTCCTCAAGGTGGCAAACATAAAATTCGAATTTAGAATCTCCATACTGTGTAGAACCAGTGAGTAATAACTTGAAGATTTTTTCTTTTCTGAATTGATACCATTTGACAGAACTATGCATTTTTGATACCAATAAATAAAAGATGACCATTGTTATCATCATTTGATAACAAGAAATATTTAAAAACTATGTGTAAGAAACGATGAGCTTCAAAAAACAAACTAAAGATGTCATAGAATAATACTACCTTTGAAAAAACCGCACCCTCAATCCCTTTGCATACAGCAAAAGAAAACTTGTGTTGGTAATACACTTAAACATGGCAAAACTACTTTAACAACTAGTTTTGTTTAATTCCGAATTTTACAACTAAGGATGCCGCTGTGAGTAAAGAAATGAAAGTGATCATGATGATTGTCATCCTCAAAGTGATACTTTTAGATGCCCTAGCTAAATTAATTCTGTAAACAGTTTTGTTACTTGTATCTATCTGGTATATGAATAAAAAAATCAGTGGGAGACCCACAATTTAAAACTTTTTTCTAATTATTTTTGAAGCTACTTATATTGACTGCCAAACAGTCCAGCCAAATCAATTTTTTCCAAATCCATATTTGATGTAGTTCCTCATTAATTTTGTACGAAACCAATATCTCTGATAATTGTAGTTTGTAATCTTAAAAATTGTCACTTGAAACTCTAACATGTTACACTAAATTAATTGGTACACTACATTAAATTGGTACTTTATAACTTTAAGTAAGATGATGCACATAATTTATGTTTCATGGCTTAGTATTTAACATACTATACTGAGAGAGGAAGAACCTTCTGGAATGTAGATAATCATAACTACTTTAATCTAATGCAATCATTTTGATCATTATTAGTCATTTCAAACTGATTTTTTCTAAATACGGTGAATTGCTGGGCTAAATCAATAACTTTGGAAAGTTCTTAGAAAAATAATTGGAAATCGTGAGTATTTCCATTGTATTATTTATTTTTATTTAAATTAAGTCCATAAAGAAATATTTCTTATATAGAGTGGTTAGGTGGGGACCTTCCCTTGTAGATTCATTTAATGTCCCAAATCAAGAACAAAAGATGGATGTTATGAATTTAATTTTAATGTGAACATCACATTTTTATATTTGACTTCAAGAAGAACGGGGTTAAGGTTTTTATGTTTGCTTTTTAGCTGCTGGTGCAAAAAAAAAAAAAGAAATTTCTTCCATGCAAAGGAGACGTCCTACAAAAAAACGTAAGAAGGAGGACAAAAATGAACAGAGAGATGATCTTCAAGTGTATAGTTCTGAAAGTCACAATTCAGGTGAGCGATTTTTGTTCTCTCTTGTATGTTGTGTAAGTGTGTATGTGTGCTATCGCAGCCGTAATTTTCTGTTTACTTTCAGATTATATAGTGGAGAACATATTGACTAGTCGAGGACGTAAAGCACAGCGTATATGTTATGTACAAATGAAACAACAAGGCACTTTGGAACTACTGAAGAGAGACGATTTGGGTGCTCAAGAGGTTATATCTGTGCCCACAGGAAAGAATTTGTGTGAAGTTGAAAATTCTCAACGTTTATCCAGTCAAGACTTGGCCACTGATGAAATTGCTGACATGCATAATATTAAAGATATATCAAAGCTAGTTAAAAATAAGTCCTTAATATCTGAATTGGGTAATGATGTTCAAGATACTGATAGAGAAATGAAATTAGAACCTTCTTGTGAAGAACCTCAGTTGGTGATAGTTGACCCAGGTAAGCAGGTTTGGAATACATATTATTCATCTTAATGTGAATTGTTATGTCACAGGGCTTGTTGAGATCATTTAAGCTCACTAATGGGGCCATGGTCTGCCAGCAATGAAATGTAGTGGGGGAGGTGTATTGTCCAATTAATATTTCTGCCTGCTTGACAATGATACTTAAAGTATTATTTACCGTTTGGATTGTATAATTCTAATCAACCTATAACAAGTATTGTATTTCAGCTTCTGAGTCAATGAACCCCATCTCCATCAGGTTTTTCATCCAGTTTCCCTGAGGAAATGCTGAGATGAGCCTGTGTTTTGCTTCTGAACATAAATATAACTTCATTATCTGTGCACGTCTTCTAGAGTTCAATGGAAATGTAGTTATTCAAATTATCATTCTCCATCTTGTTGTGGCTGAATTCTTTCACGAAAGACATAAGGATAAGTACCCAAATCTATTGTAGATTTGTCTTTGAAAATAGATTTCATTACATCGAAGCAAATATTTTGTTAAAAATTCTTGCCAAAACGCTAATTTCTTTCTGTATTCAGAATTCAAGTTGTGTATGGTTTAGGGTAAGTATCCCAAAATTAAGAAAATATCCCCAGAGCATGTCACAAACAGTTTTTAATTGTTTGTGATGTAAACACATGGTGCATTACCAAACAAGTAATGGCGCTCTTGCCTGCTTCGCATATGTTTTCAGTTTTCAATTGCTTCATGCTGTAAGATTTTTTTTAATAAGCATTGGGAACTTTACAGTGCCACAGACTTAACAGGAATTACAGTGTGAAGCCTCTGAAAGGTGCGGAATCCCCTCTCCTCTGACAGGTGCTAGCTGCCTAATAGGCAGAAATATTATTTGGACATACCCAACACAGTAGATCTTGTTGTTACTGCACCTGGCTTCATTGTCATTCTTCAGTATTAAATGCAAGATGTCCCCATATCTGATAGAGATGACGGGCAATATGGGGAATTGGGATTATGTGTACAGTAGGAAATGTTTGTTGTTCAGCTCATATCACTTGCCTTTTATAATGTTGATATTTAAGAAAAATAATTCCATTTTACCTTGCATGTAGTTTCTCATATGTCGTATTCCACCACTAGCTACTGTTGTACTTTGTTGGTTTTATCGGTCAACTTCATTATCGACCCTTTCCTTCCTTCCTTCCTTCCTTCCTTCCTTCCTTCCTTCCTTCCTTCCTTCCTTCCTTCCTTC